TTCTTCTTCTTCTTCTTCTTCTTCTTCTTCTTCTTCTTCTTCTTCTTCTTCTTCTTCTTCTTCTTCTTCTTCTACTTCTCCTCCTCCTCCTCCTCCTCCTCCTCCTCCTCCTCCTCCTCCTCCTCTTCCTCTTCCTGAATTCTGAAACTGTACAAAGTATCTTAACAGAAACTATCCATCTTTTTAAGTCACTTAATATCAAAGATTTTCTTCTTACCAACTTATTGTGATTCCAATTCCGGGCACGTTGCATTCTTTACCTTTAAAATTTGTCTTTCTAGAGATGGGCATGGCTTCATTCCCAAGGCTCTGAAAAATGCGTATATTTTATTGGGTAACGAATCATTTGTGCAGGAGGCCTTTTTCCATGTAATTCGGGGGGGGGGGGGGGAATGACCCCTTCAAATTGTACCGTAACATTGCAAATATAGATGTCAAATGTTAGCCATCATCCAGCTCTGGCTGCGATGGCAACCGGGGCCATGGCAGCTGGCATCAATTAACCTTATTGACCATAATCTCTGCTGGGTGACAGAGGCAATTAATGTCCACTTTTTGCAAAGCAAGAGACACTTTTATTTTGTGGCTTGTTGGTTTTTTGGCTCTTCTTTTCACCAAAACTAATGAATCATTGCAATATCCCAGCATCCTAATGTCCGCGTTCTTAAATCGAGCATGGTGACTCTTTTATTCCTTTGATCCAGACCAAAGTTTGTTAATCTTGAGACTCATCCAAGCGACTTCATCGCTCAAAATAAAAAAATTAGATAGGCAGAGAGTCAGAGAGTCGTTGGAACCCTTGCCATGCCAACTTCAGAATAACAGAGCTGGAAGGGACCTTGGAGGTCTTCTAGTCCAACCCCCTGCTCAGGCAGGAAACCCTATACCATTTCAGACTTCAGGAACGAAACGTCTCAGATTAATATCTGATGAAATTAATCTGATGGATTAATATCTGATGGAAACTAATCAAAGAGAGAAGCAGCCTAGAAGTAAGGAGAAATTTCCTGACAGTGAGAACAATTAACCAGTGGAACTACTTGCCACCAGAAGCTGTGAATGCTCCAACACTGGAAGTTTTTAAGAAGATGTTAATAACAACAACAACAACAACAGAACAGAACAGAATAGAATAGAATAGAATAGAATAGAATAAACAATTGGAAGGGACCGTGGAGGTCATCTAGTACAATGCCCTGCTCAGGCAGGAAACCCTATACCATTTCGGACAAATGGCTGTCCAGTTTCTTCTTAAAAACTTCCAGTGTTGGAGCATTCACCGCTTCTGGAGGCAGGTTGTTCCACTGGTTAATTGTTCTAACTGGACAACCATTTGTCTGAAATGGTAGAGGCTTCCTGCCTGAGCGGGGGGTTGGACTAGATGACCTCCAAGGTCCCTTCCAACTATTATTATTATGTTTTTAAGATGCTTTTGGCCTGGATGATTGAGTCTTCATATTCAGACATTGCAATACATTTTGGGGAGAAACCCCTGAAGTGGGTATGACGAGAGTTGTTCCATTTCAATGTCTCTCTGCTGATCTTATTTTTCCTTTACTGCAGTTTTGTGTTTTGTTTCAATTCCCCATCACCGTCATCAAACAAGTGGGACGCAAAACCAATCCCATTTTATCACAATTTTTTCGACAGTTGTTATGAGAACAGAGCAGTCGTAAGCACAAAGCCATTGTTCGCTACGGTCATGGGTTTGCCAAAACTAGAAATAAATGCAGGTTTGGGCAGAACCGTTGTAAGACATGGTCATGGGACTGTGGGAGGATGTTCCAAATGCCCACAGTGTGGTGGGTGACCGTTGGAACTTCTTCTTTTTTAAAAAAAAAATTATTTGAACTTCTGATCCGGGTCGTGAGTCCCCTTTTTCAGATCGGTCATAATTTTCAACCGTCGCTAAGGAACCGCTCGTAAACTGAGGACTAACTAAAAGCATGTGAAGGCCAGACAAGGAATAATGGATGGAAACTGATTAAGGAGAGATTTAACCTAGAAATAAGGAGAATTTTTTTGAGAGTGAGGACAGTCAACTAATGGAACAGAAGTTGCCTTCAGAAGTTGTGGGAGCTTCATCACTGGAGACTTTCAAGAAGAGACCGGACTGCCATCTGTCGGAAATGGTGTGGGGTCTCCTGCTTGGGCAGGGGGTTGGACTAGATGACCTACAAGGCCCCTTCCAACTCTGTTATTCTATTCCATTCCATTCCATTATTTCCTATTCCATTTCCTATTCCCATTCCCATTCTTCTATCCTATCCTATCCTATCCTATCCTATCCTATCCTATCCTATCCTATCCTATTCTATTCTGTAATTCTATACTATACTATACTATACCATACCATACCATACCATACCATACCATACCATACCATACCATACCATACCATACCATACCATACCATACTCTATTCTATTCCATTCCATTCCATTCCATTCCATTCCATTCCATATTCTCTTCTCTTCTCTTCTCTTCTCTTCTCTTCTCTTCTCTTCTCTTCTCTTCTCTTCTCTTCTCTTCTCTTCTCTTCTCTTCTATTCTATTCTATTCTATTCTATTCCATTCTATTCTGCTCCATTCCATTCCATTCCACTCCATTCTATATTCTATTCTATACTCTACTCTACTCTACTCTACTCTACTCTAGTCTACTCTACTCTACTCTACTCTACTCTACTCTACTCTACTCTACTCTACTCTACTCTACTCTACTCTACTCTACTCTACTCTACTCTATTCTATTCCTATACATGGAAGTATCCCAAGGGAAGACTTAGACACAAGATGCTGAACAGCAGTGCTAGAAAGATGGGGGTTTACTGGAATTGTATTCCTCATGATGGGACAACAATTAGCCTGAGGTGGTATGAAGACTCCTAGCTTGTAAACTGGGGTGGACTACTACTAGAGGACCTCTAAGGGTCCCTTCCAATCCTAGGATTCTATGCCGTGCCGTGACAAATGGTAAATGCCCTGGTCCTGTTTTCTTTCCCGCAGGCCTTTGGTGGATTTGTTTGATAAGCGCTACTACTTGGCCGTTCCTTATGATGAGTGCAAACGGAGGAGGAGGTAAGGACCGTTTCGGGATCTGACGTGTGGAGGGCTAAAATGTCCCCCCTCCCACCCACCCCTGTTCCTTGACAGTAATGGAGGTTGTAGAACGAGAAGCCTTTTGCTGAGATGACGTTCCCAAACACCCCTTTTCAGGGAGTTGGGCAGCAGATAAATTAATTGATGATGATGATGATGATGGTGATGTAGATTTATTAGATCCGGGGACTTCCTTTAACTTCTGACCTGCAGCCATTTTGCAACATCTGTCCAGATGCCCACCTGGCAGGGTGGCAGTTCATGGCAGGACAAGGGCTGGCCAAGGCTGCTGCACAAAACAAACGTCGCACTGGGGAAGCTAGGAAGAGCTGGAGTTGTTTTGTAGAAGGTCTACATCAATCTCTCCTCTCCAGAAGCTCCACTCCAACCTTAGGGACTAGATTCATGGGCTCCACCTCAGTAGAAGAGTAGCTTTACTGTGGCCAGAACGAGGAAGAAGACAGCGGGACCCTGAGGATCTGCCTCCTGCAGAGTAGAGGACTCTATAAAGTTTCTGTCTGCTCCTGGGCTGATGTGCAGGCCGTTGGCTCTGCCTGTGTCAAGCCAGTCGACTTTAAGCCATTCTTCTCCCCAGCTTGACCTTGGCAGATCTTGGCTCCACGTTTATGCTGCAATTCCAGGGAGAGGGTTACGTGCCTTGCCGGTTCCAGCTCTTAAAATTTTGAATTTGATTGATTGTTTTGATTGGAGTGGTTTGTTGATTATTCTCTAGTGTACAGCTGTGCAGCTCAACCTCTCCTCTCCTCTCCTCTCCTCTTTTCTTCTCTTCTTCCCTTGCCTCCACACCCATTCCTTTTTCCTCTCCTTCCTCTTTCTCCTCCCTTCCTTCCTCCCTTCTCCTCTCCTTTCCTCTCCTCTCCTCTCCTCTCCTTTTCTCTTCTTCCCTTGCCTCCACACCCATTCCTTTTTNTGCCTCCTTCTTCTTCTTCTTCTTCTTCTTCTTCTTCTTCTTCTTCTTCTTCTTCTTCTTCTTCTTCTTCTTCTTCTTCTTCTTCTTCTTCTTCTTCTTCTTCTTCTTCTTCTTCTTCTTCTTCTTCTTCTTCTTCTTCTTCTTCTTCTTCTTCTTCTTCTTCCTCTTCTTCCTCTCCTCCTCCTCCTCCTCCTCCTCCTCCTCCTGCTGCTGAATTCTGAAACCGTACAAAGTATCTTAACAGAAACTATCCATCTTTTTAAGTCACTTAGTATCAAAGACTCTCTTCTTACCAACTTATTGTGATTCCAATTCCGGGCACGTTGCATTCTTTACCTTTAAAATTTGTCTTTCTAGAGATGGGCATGGCTTCATTCCCAAGGCTCTGAAAAATGTGTATATTTTATTGGGTAACGAATCATTTGTGCAGGAGGCCTTTTTCCATGTAATTCGGGGGGGGGGGAATGACCCTTTCAAATTGTACCGTAACATTGCAAATATAGATGTCAAATGTTAGCCATCATCCAGCTCTGGCTGCGATGGCAACCGGGGCCATGGCAGCTGGCATCAATTAACTTTATTGACCATAATCTCTGCTGGGTGACAGAGACAATTAATGTCCACTTCTTGCAACGCAAGAGACACTTTTATTTTGTGGCTTGTTGGTTCTTTGGCTCTTCTTTTCACCAAAACTAATGAATCATTGCAATATCCCAGCATCCTAATGTCCGTGTTCTTAAATCGAGCATAGTGACTCTTTTACTCCTTTGATCCAGACCAAAGTTTGTTAATCTTGAGACTCATCCGAGCAACTTCATCGCTCAAAATAAAAAAATTAGATAGGCAGAGAGTCAGAGAGTCGTTGGAACCCTTGCCATGCCAACTTCAGAATAACAGAGCTGGAAGGGACCTTGGAGGTCTTCTAGTCCAACCCCCTGCTCAGGCAGGAAACCCTATACCATTTCAGACTTCAGGAACGAAACGTCTCAGATTAATATCTGATGAAATTAATCTGATGGATTAATATCTGATGGAAACTAATCAAAGAGAGAAGCAGCCTAGAAGTAAGGAGAAATTTCCTGACAGTGAGAACAATTAACCAGTGGAACTACTTGCCTCCAGAAGCTGTGAATGCTCCAACACTGGAAGTTTTAAAGAAGATGTTAATAACAACAACAACAACAACAACAGAACAGAACAGAACAGAACAGAATAGAATAGAATAAACAATTGGAAGGGACCTTGGAGGTCATCTAGTCCAATCCCCTGCTCAGGCAGGAAACCCTATACCATTTCAGACAAATGGCTGTCCAGTTTCTTCTTAAAAACTTCCAGTGTTGGAGCATTCACCGCTTCTGGAGGCAGGTGGTTCCACTGGTTAATTGTTCTAACTGGACAACTATTTGTCTGAAATGGTAGAGCCTTCCTGCCTGAGCGGGGGGTTGGACTAGTTGACCTCCAAGGTCCCTTCCAACTATTATTATTATGTTTTTAAGATGCTTTTGGCCTGGATGATTGAGACATCATATCGACACATTGCAATACATTTTGGGGAGAAACCCCTGAAGTGGGTATGACGAGAGTTGTTCCATTTCAATGTCTCTCTGCTGATCTTATTTTTCCTTTACTGCAGTTTTGTGTTTTATTTCAATTCCCCAGCACAAAAATCCAGATGAGTTTCTCCCTCTGGCTGGTTTATAGCAGAGTATATATAAAAATTCGCCTCTATTATAGACAGTGTGCCCTCCCTGATTCACTCAAAAGCCAGCTTGAGGTCTTTAAAAAGATTGAGATGAGGACAGTTGTGAGCTAATTTGAGACTTGGCGCCCCCCCCCCCCACAAATCCTAGTTGTAGGTAATCCTTGAGTTACAACTGTCATGCAGCTGGGCATAAGTTATCACCGTCATCAAACAAGTGGGACGCAAAACCAATCCCATTTTATCACAATTTTTTCGACAGTTGTTATGAGAACAGAGCAGTCGTAAGCACAAAGCCATTGTTCGCTACGGTCATGGGTTTGCCAAAACTAGAAATAAATGCAGGTTTGGGCAGAACCGTCGTAAGACATGGTCATGGGACCGTGGGAGGATGTTCCAAATGCCCCCAGTGTGGTGGGTGACCGTTGGAACTTCTTCTTTTTTTTTATTTGAACTTCTGATCCGGGTCGTGAGTCCCCTTTTTCAGATCGGTCATAATTTTTAACCATTGCTAAGGAACCGCTCGTAAGCTGAGGACTAACTAAAAGCATGTGAAGGCCAGACAAGGAATAATGGATGGAAACTGATTAAGGAGAGATTTAACCTAAAAATAAGGAGAATTTTTTTGAGAGTGAGGACAGTCAACTAATGGAACAGAAGTTGCCTTCAGAAGTTGTGGGAGCTTCATCACTGGAAGCTTTCAAGAAGAGACCGGACTGCCATCTGTCGGAAATGGTGTGGGGTCTCCTGCTTGGGCAGGGGGTTGGACTAGATGACCTACAAGACCCCTTCCAACTCTGTTATTCTATTCCATTCCATTAATTCCTATTCCTATTCCATTTCCTATTCCCATTCCCATTCTTCTATCCTATCCTATCCTATCCTATCGTATCCTATCCTATTCTGCATTGCATTGCATTGCATTCCGTTCTTTCACTATTCTATCCTATTCTGCTTCTTTCCATTCCATTCCTATTCCTATTCCTATCCCATTCCTATCCTTCTATTCTATTCTATTCTATTCATTATTTTATCTATTCTATTCTATTCTATTCCATTCCATTCCATTCCACTCCACTCCACTCCACTCCACTCCTATCCTATCCTATCTCATCCCATCCCATCCCATCCCATCCCACTCCACTCCACTCCACTCCATTCTATTCTATTCTATTCTATTCCACTCCACTCCACTCCACTCCACTCCTGTCCCGTCCCGTCCTGTCCCACTCCATTCCACTCCACTCCATTCTATTCTATTCTATTCTATTCTATTCTATTCTATTCTATTCTATTCTATTCCACTCCACTCCATTCCTATTCCTATTCCTATTCCTATTCCTATTCCTATTCCTATCCCATTTCCTATTCCCATTCCTATCCTTCTACTCTACTCTACTCTACTCTACTCTACTCCACTCCACTCCACTCCACTCCACTCCACTCCACTCCACTCCATTCCATTCCATTCCATTCTTCCATTCCATTCCATTCTTCCATTCCATTCCATATTTTCTATTCTATTCTATTCTATTCTATTCTATTCTATTCTATTCTATTCTATTCTATTCTATTCTGTTCCTATACATGGAAGTATCCCAAGGGAAGACGTAGACACAAGATGCTGAACAGCAATGCTAGAAAGATGGGGGTTTACTGGAATTGTATTCCTCATGATGGGTCAACAATTAGCCTGAGGTGGTATGAAGACTCCTAGCTTTTAAACTGGGGTGGACTATTACTAGAGGACCTCTAAGGGTCCCTTCCAATCCTAGGATTCTAAATGCCCTGGTCCTGTTTTCTTTCCCGCAGGCCTTTGGTGGATTTGTTTGATAAGCGCTACTACTTGGCCGTTCCTTATGATGAGTGCAAACGGAGGAGGAGGTAAGGACCGTTTCGGGATCTGACGTGTGGAGGGCTAAAATGTCCCCCCTCCCACCCACCCCTGTTCCTTGACAGTAATGGAGGTTGTAGAACGAGAAGGCTTTTGCTGAGATGACGTTCCCAAACACCCCTTTTCAGGGAGTTGGGCAGCAGATAAATTAATTGATGATGATGATGATGATGGTGATGTAGATTTATTAGATCCGGGGACTTCCTTTAACTTCTGGCCTGCAGCCATTTTGCAACATCTGTCCAGATGCCCACCTGGCAGGGTGGCAGTTCATGGCAGGACAAGGGCTGGCCAAGGCTGCTGCACAAAACAAACGCCGCACTGGGGAAGCTAGGAAGAGCTGGAGTTGTTTTGCAGAAGGTCTACATCAATCTCTCCTCTCCAGAAGCTCCACTCCAACCTTAGGGACTAGATTCATGGGCTCCACCTCAGTAGAAGAGTAGCTTTACTGTGGCCAGAACGAGGAAGAAGACAGCGGGAGCCTGAGGATCTGCCTCCTGCAGAGTAGAGGACTCTATAAAGTGTATGTCTGCTCCAGAGGGCTGATGTGTAGGCCGTTGGCTCTGCCTGTGTCAAGCCAGTCGACTTTAAGCCATTCTTCTCCCCAGCTTGACCTTGGCAGATCTTGGCTCCACGTTTATGCTGCAATTCCAGGGAGAGGGTTACGTGCCTTGCCGGTTCCAGCTCTTAAAATTTTGAATTTGATTGATTGTTTTGATTGGAGTGGTTTGTTGATTATTCTCTAGTGTACAGCTGTGCAGCTCAACCTCTCCTCTCCTCTCCTCTTTTCTTCTCTTCTTCCCTTGCCTCCACACCCATTCCTTTTTCCTCTCCTTCCTCTTTCTCCTCCCTTCCTTCCTCCCTTCTCCTCTCCTTTCCTCTCCTCTCCTCTCCTTTTCTCTTCTTCCCTTCCCTCCACACCCATTCCTTTTTCCTCTCCTCTCCTCTCTCCTCCTCTCCTCTCTTCTCCTCTCTTCTCCTCTCCTCTCCTCTCTCCTCCTCTCCGCTCTTCTCCTCTTCTCTCCTCTCCTCTCCTCTCCTCTCTTCTCCTCTCCTCTCCTCTCTTCTTCCCTT